TCTTCTCGCCATAATTGCGCGGTATCCAACAATGCTTAGTCTTGGTATGAGCTGGCCGTTAGAGCACGGCTGTGCTTACCAACCGGTACGCGGGCTCATTTAAAAGAGCCACATGACGTGCTACGAATCGCCATCCTCCCCTCCTCCTCCTCCCAATACTCCATGTCTTCCGCTGACAAGCCTATCATCGTCATCGCCGGCGTCGGCGCTGGCTTCGGTGAGTCATCGCGACTGGACTTGATGTCCTTGTGCTGACTGTTCACCATCAAGGAACGGGCGGTTCTGTGGCGTAAGTTCATAGCGCTGCAGAAACAGAAAGTCTCACAAGGTTTTCAGGCGCGAGTTCGGTAGCGCTGGATACCGCGTCGCTCTTCTTGCGCGCACCGCCGACGCGGTGAACCAACTTGCGAATAAGCTGACGCAAGACAACATCGAGGTTTGCACATAGACACGTCAGCTTCGCAGAATGCTGACTGTTCCATTCGCGTCATCTCTTGTCAGGCCAAAGCATTCCCAGTGGCAGCATACGACCACCAGACCCTGCATGCTGCTTTCGCATCGATTCGCACTGCGTGGCCAAACGTTCCCATTCGTGTCGCCGTTTGGAACGCCGGAGATGCAGTCTGGAAGCCCTTCCTCGATATTTCCCCAGAAGAGGTCAAGAAGGGAACGGATTCAACCATCGGCGCTTTCGCGTTTTCGCGCGAAGCGATCTTGGCGTTCAAAGACCTAGAGTGCGTATTCAGTGGCCTGTGAACTTCTTGGCACCACCTAATTGGAATGCTCCAAAGGTTGGACAGCGTGGGCAAACGGGGGGCTCTGATCTTTACCAGTGCAACTTCTGCTCTACGTGGAAACAAGACGACAAGCGTCTTCTCTGCATCCAAGTTTGCGTTGCGTTCGCTCTCGCAAAGTCTCGCCAAGGAGTTTGGCAAGCAGAACATACACGTACGGAGACAGTTACTCTGATATAGCTATCCACTTATGTTGATGTATCAGGTTTCTACTGTCATCATTGATGGTGGCATCCTCACCGATCGCTCCGCAGGACGTGGAGAAGAGTATGCAAAGAACGATGATGTTCGCCTCAACCCCGATTCCATCGCGAAAGTGCGCACACTGTTGCTTCTTTCTCGTGTTCGACGAGCTGACCACGCCTACAGAGTTACTTTTACCTCGCCAACCAAGACCGGTCTGCGTGGACCTGGGAAATTGATCGTAAGTCGCCGCAAAACAATTAGTAATTATTCTCTGACAGCATCCTGCTAGTCCGTCCTGCTCACGAGACCTGGTAAGCCTAATAGTCAAGAAGAATGCACGCTGTAGACCTTTATCAAATCTTGAATTGCGAGAAATTGAACAATTAGCGTGCTGATGTCAACGGGCTATGTTCCAAAGATAACCGAGGCAAAGTTATCTTGGAGCGTTTCCATAGCTTGGATCTGCGTGAAACCTTCTATGACCAGGTGTACTGGAACATCGGCAGGCTTTGTGGGTCCGAGCAAATGCCTCATGGCAACCACGAGCTGTCCACAATCGAGACCAGCCATCCCTGCCGATTCGTTCTCGGGTACGACATGCACTTTTTGTAGCACTGGAAATATCGAATGCGGGACCTGCAGAGCAGGGTCGGGAGTTACGGTCTGGTCGGAAGACCAGAGGAGAGTCAGCGTTGTGAGGGCGGTGAAGGTAGGATCTGCATCCACCAAGACCTCGATCGCCGAGACTATCATCTCAATAGTCACGATGCGGCCGATGAAGGCTGAGATGCAACCCTGGGAAAAGCAAGAGTACATGCTGTCGGCTTGGAACGTTCGGCGATGGTCTGGTGAGTCGACGAGAACAATTGACAAACAGTATGTATACGACCGCGAGAAGGACTGTTTGTCGTGTTTTTGTACTGGATGTCGCTTTTCTGTCAATTTCGAAGATACAAGCTCGATGTGAAGTGGTCCACTTGGAAGACCATTTACAGCAGCGAGCATTTCTTCGAGCTTCGGTTCGCCAATCACAACGACTGCAGCATGTAAGAGCCATGGAAATACGGTGAACCACAGTTTATATCTCGACCTTGTGGTGTCGAGGAAAACTTCATGAAGGGTGTTGGGCAACTCCGAAGGGCCGATCAGGTGCACCGATCCATCCAATGTAATACTTTCTAGGCAAGGGAAGTGCTTCAGGTCGACCGCAACATTGTAATCTGGGTAATGGTTCAGCTGCAAATTAACGATGCTGCATTTTTGCAGCGCTGGGATGGGTAGGCTCGGCAGCACTACCGAGTGCATCTCAATCTCGCGCAGTAGTGGCGCGTGCCCGCCGAATAGGTCTTTTGGCAATGTATGCAGCTCCGCTTCTCGATAGTTCAAGACAATAGCCCTGAGACATCCAGCTGGCTGCTGAAGAATGTGATGAACAGCCTGCTCCTGTGATTTGAAGAACGAGAGGGAAAGTTGTTCCACACGAGATATTTGAGCAGCAAGCGCGTGCATTATTAGATGCCCCACGCCTCCTGATCTGTGATCTAAAGTTATTTTGATACCTGTCGCATCCGTCTGATTGAGGCGGACGAGGAAGAAATCAGCTGCAGATAGGCTGGAGGCAGCAAGCCGGATATCTTGCCAGAAAACCGGACATCCTCGAGCAACCACCCGCCAAGATAAACAGGTGTGCGATGCTCGAAGAAGATCGGCTATTACGAGATTTTGAAGAATGTCAGCGAGGAGTTCGGGTGGCAACAATGATGACATGACGAACGGACGACAAGAGATGATCGATGAGGCACGGTTGATGGCCGCAGCGCCTCCACAGTAGGGTAGTGTTGATATATAAGGAAGTCGCCGGTGTTGATAGTTTAGAACATAGAAATTTACAAGAGGCATTCTCTGTCCGTTCCACACCGTGGAGAGGGAGTGGTTAAAGACGGGTGAAAGTATTATGAAAGTACGCGTCCTCGCTCACTTGACCTCCCTACTTCCGCCTTGTCAACATCAGTCACAATTCACTTGGGAGTCAGAATAAGGTTGAAAGATGATATTATGCATTGCTTTAAATGAGCCTAGAGGATTTCTGGCTCTTCCTGGTCACGAATGATCGATATCCGTCTGGTCAGGTACAAGACGACCGCAAGGCACTTGCAACTGGGCATTCATGAATTTGGAGCAGCTGAGCACTGTGTTGGTTAAGTTAATGAAGATAACGAGCCTGGCTGTTCAGTCTGAGACTGCGTTGGGCACGATTACAAAGCCAACTGATCCCGGAGAAACTCTAACCCATCAAAATGGCTGAAATCCTCTATCACTACTATTGCAAGTCCATCTAAAGACTCCGCGTAAAAGCTCGAGAGTAGATACGAGCGCTTCGAAATCGATAACTGACATCTGTGTCTCCAGACGAGAAAACTGTCAGTGTCAGGTCAAGCGCACCGATAACGTCGTCCCAGCGTGATAGCTGTAGAACAAAGACCGTGCAGTCAACTAGCACTGGAATAGGAATAGTCAGGCCTAGCAGAATGACCAAGTGCAGCTCCACTTCGTGTAGTGGTACTTGTCCTGCGAACAGGTTCTAGGCAAAAAAAGTAGGCCCATCTTTGCACAGTCCATGATCAAGGTCTTCAGACGCTCAGCAAGCTGCAGGATAACCTGAAGAACGTGGCTCAGCTAATCGCGCAGCTTCAGGACCAGCTTTTCCACATGGAACATCTGTGCGGTGTTGGCGTGACAATATGCCCGACAGCTTGATATGTAAGTTCCAGCATCAAAGTTTCGTCTATAGCGACTAAATTTCCTGTGAATGTCGTTTGGTTGAGGCGGAATATGAAGGATTGTGTCAAAGTTGGACTCGGGGCAGCCAGCCTGATATTCTGTCAGAACGCGGGACATCGTCGCGCTATGACCCGCCAAGCCGCACGTGCATGTGATGCAGAAAGCAGATAAGATATCTCAAGAGTGGCTGCCAGGAGTTCGTTTCATGATAACGGCATGGTGGAAGTAGGACAAGAACTGCACAACGAAGAAAGGATGGTCGGAGCCATAGCATTCAGATCACGTCACGCCAATCCGCGAACTCAGATCTGGATCTCTGGTTTTCGCGCACGCACATGTACATGCTTGGTAATCATCTACCCAAGCTAGCGCCGCCCGACTGTTTGTTGAGATAGGGGTAACGGGCGCTGTCAGTGCCGGGATGTGAGCGATGCGGGCACAACGCACCAAGAGAGCATCTGCTTCGAGTTCGGTGATTGGGATGCTGGTGCGCACGAGTCGCGCAGGGGCGTCCCACCAGTTGATGGCGCCGGAAGACTTGGACGAGCTCGTTGTTGATGTCGAAGACGACGAGGACGATGATGGCGTTGAATGACTGGTGTGCGCATATCTTCAGGCAGCAGGCCAAGCGCAATAGATGATTAGCGCGCACCTGGTCGAAATGCGCTTCAGGAAGTCAGAGAACGAGCGTGTAACATCGGATGGAGCAGCAGGGTGCGGTGAGGGCTCATGCGGGTCTACACAACCACTCAGCGAAAGTACGACAAATGCGGCACAGTCATAAGTCATAAGTCGGTCCGACACAGTGAGCCACAGAGCGAGGCAAGGCGAGACACGATTGTTGTAAACCGCACAACATGTGAATGTCGACGTTCGTCAGCAGCACGCGGATAACGCGCTCGTCAAGCAGACGCACGACTCGGAATGGGGCGCTTCCCAAGAAAGTGGATCAGAGGTTTATGAGCGCGTCGGAGCGCAACAGAGGCACGCATGGTTGCAAGTGGGTAAAGGGAATGAGAAGGCGCGGCGCATTGCGGCTCGCGCTCATTCCGGGCGCTTACGATCAGCTATGATCAGGCGTGATTATTGTGTTGGGCCAAAACAAAACTTCCCCCAGGAAGAATCGAACCTCAGCCAATTGTATACTCTCTGTCACCAATATACGCACGTGTTGCAAGTTTGCTGCCAAACGAAGCCGAAGGCGTGTCATGAGTGGTGAATGAGCACGTAATGCATCGGTCCTCAATGGTCCAATGGTTAGGATACTTGTCTCTCACACAAGTGGCCGGGGTTCGATTCCCCGTTGGGGAAAAACATCTTTTGGGACAATTTTGCAAGCGAGCTGTTTGTGAGCATGTCATTTCCGTGGCCGGAAGGCTCTTGGAATCTTGTGGCGTGTCCTCTGCCGACACCATTACCGCCGGCTCCGTAGTCTAAACTGGCTGTAGTCAAGATACTGGTCGTGGGTTAGATAGTGTCCTTTGAGAGAGGTGATTAATCTACTGCTGAGGAGAGAAACAGACTTTTGGGTTCGTGCTCGAGGGCAACAAGTGGACCATCGTGCGTATATGTGAATCAGTATCCAAAGATCTAACCCGTTTATGTCTTTACAGGAAAACTACGAGAACGAGACGAGTCTGGTCGTAGACAACGCCGAGATGAGCCACATCGTCAACACCTTTGACAACGGTACGTTCAATGGCTAAAGAGGGAGAAATCAAGACGCGAAAGATGTAGCATGGTTCAAATTGATTGGTTATGGCAAGTCCGACGCGTCAGGGGAGGTTGAGTGCGGAGCTCGAACACGCGTCGAAAGCCGAACCTCTCGCTCGCCGTCATCCGCTATCGATCCAACGCCTAACAACAGGCCCCCGGCACTCCAGCCTTTCCTTCTGGGTAGAATCTTGCTTCGCCAGCTTTGCGCCGCGTTCACCTGCCCGGTTAAGTGCGGTTGAACTCTCAGACAGACCCACGCGCTCAAATCGCAATGCGCAACACCGAGTTTGTGCACGCAATGATCTCTAACTTGATATAGCTTTTGAGGAGGCTCCGCACAGCTCCCCATCAGTTCCAGCTTCAGGCGACTCAACAATCGATCGATCGAACCGACCGGTTGCCACCCCCGCAAGTCGATCAGCGAACGGCTCGCGCCAGAGCACAACTAAGCACAAAACAACTCACGCTTTAGAAAATTTGTCTCGTGCATCTCCTCCACTTACTACGACCGCGCCGCAAGTAACGCAAGTAACGGCAGAAAGACGACGTCGAAAAGCAGAAGGCGAGCTGGACGGTGAACGTCACACAGCCAGCATAATTAAAAGTACAACCTGTAACTGTTGCCCACATTAGTTCATAGATGAGGATAATAACTAGTATATTTCTGGGAACTAATCTGAGGCAAGAAACAACCAATAAATGGCCAATCCCTGCCTGTATAGGTTGTGAGTGGCAATTCACTGCCGGCTTAGGCAGTGATCCAGCAGAATATTGGCTGTTTTTGCCTCAGATTAGTTCCCAGAAATATACTAGTTATTATCCTCATCTATGAGCTAATGTGGGCAACAGTTACAGGTTGTACTTTTAATTATGCTGGCTGTGTCAGCAGAAGAAGCTGCGACAAGCCAAACATCCGGAGGTGTGTGCACTTAGGGAGGCATGATGTGCTCAAAGGCATGGTATGCTCAAAAAGTGCCATTACTAAACTTCCGTGCTCTGGACCTCAGCCGAAAGCGTCTGCGCCGCTGACTATATCGACTTCGCCAGCTTCGTCTACAACCAGCTTACTTCCCGTGGCACACTTTGCTTCTTCTAGCTTACTTCCTGTCGCACACTATGCTCCTTCTGCTTCCTCCTCTTCGCTCCCTTCGCTCTCTTCCGCTACAGATGTCCGAGCTTTTTACTACAAGCCGGACGACGACTCAGGCTCGGACGACTTAGACTCGGACGACGACTCAGACTCTTGTGATGGTGATTGTGATGAAGACCGTGACTGCTGGCGGTGCAGGCTGCTCCAGACTGTGTATTCTGAGGACAACGTGTCTGCGTCTCATCGCTCTGAACCCGGTTCCCAAGCTGGACCAGTTACTGATGATGCGGGCGACACTCTCATGCCCGCTATTTTCTCCTCCTCTGCTCCTCCTGCCATTCCTTCCCCTCCCAAGACTAACGGCACGTTCGCTCGCGGTGCCAAGGCCATCTCAAATACCCCAGGCCGCATGGGTGAAAACTTCGAAACCGGTGAGATTTCATGCCGGACTGCAATGTGTTGGCAACTGCTGATGCTGCCTATGCCAGATTTCAACGCGGGTGCTGCTCGTCAGCATCTAGTAGAATGCTTCGAGAAGGCAGTGTTCGCAAGTAGGCAAGACGAGCTTGCCCGTGTCACGTCAAGTATCATTCACGGCAAGAACTCTGCTCAACCACAACGGCTTCTACAAGCACAGGAGATAGCAACCAAGGCTGAGCGCAGATTCACAGCCGCTATGGAAGAAGTTCGCGAAGACGACGGTCTCTCACACTTGGCTCAAGAGTTCTCACGGTCAGTGGGCTTGTTCGTCTACAGCGTGGCATTTCCCTAACTCATAGTCAACCACAGGCCCTTGGAGGAAGGGGACAGTTTGCAACACGGCTCACTCATGGTACTTAATTACCCGCCGAAATCCCTCAAGGGGGGTTGGAGCGAGAATCTCGTGTGGACCACGGAAGGGTTGGTCGAACGAGGACTCGATGGGAAGGTGAGTGTTAGAATCACACAGCCTAGGCATATTCTTCACTAACTTTCCGCAGACACCACTTATCGATGTGTATCCAAGCCCGGTCGATGTCAAACTTGGTCCCTGCAAAGACCCCAACATGACAGCAGCACAGAGAAAGAGACAGCTCTCGGAGAGCACACTGCGAGTGAAAGGTTGGGTCTCAGTAATCGCCCGTCGTCAGGGCCAAGTTGTGGCGTTCGGAGAAATCGCGCAAGACCTCATGACGGAGGTCTTAAACGAAATTAATCTACTGCTGAGGAGATGAAATGGCCCGAATCTCGCGCGTCAACTCCGACACTCCGCTTTTCCTGCCATTTCACCGCTGCATCTCGCCTAAATTGCGAGTTCCGCTCTCCGCCTCCACCATGTCTCGCAGATCTACTAGAACCTCAACAGAGGACTCGCTGGCGAGCAGTGTCGACTCGATGGGGGCAGGCAAGCGCAACTCTACGGAGGCGCGCGGCGAGGGTAGGGCAACGAAGAAGCGCAGGACATCGTGCGACTCGCGAAGCGAGGCCCAACTGGCCGTCGAGTCGTTGCCAGAGTCGACGCTTCGCAAGCTTGTCAGCAACATTGTTGACGAAGACGCAAGGCTCCAAACGGCCGTGTTGGAAGCTGCGAACGACTCTGCCAGTGGAGCGTCCAAAGTCACCGCGCGGAGAGAACGTAGCGGCAATGTGCATGTTTTTTTTTCAAGTAATAGTCGCAACATGCTAACTATGTCCAGAACCAACTGTCCTCCGATCAATATAATGCAAAGTATGTCATCACGGCACCATACCTCGTCGACCAGTGGCCCGACGACTGCGGGCGTAATAAGATGGTCCTTCAAATCGCCGCCGAGCCGTCATCAGATCCACAAGTATGGGCGAGTTTCAACTTTCACATCATCAAAGGGGTGCTCCGCTCCTGCGTGGCACCGCCGTACTCTGTCGGCCAGTCAGTGAAGTTCGAGTGGTGTGGCCGCGAGATGGGCGAGATGACTGTGCTTGCTCCTGATGGCACCGACGGCGAGGTGGAATGGTTCTCGGCGACGCTGACGTTCCTTGGCGACGGCAAGATACAAGGCACATTCGGTTGGGAGCGCGGGTTTGAGTTCACAGGAAGTCGCGAGAACCGGGCGCTAGGTACGGGTGCTGGATGGCAGAAGTGGAAGAACGAGTGGCAGGCTTTGATCGACGAATCCGAATACTAGGAATGCCAACCACTGGGTTATCTCTACGTATAGCCATTACAATGAACAGTGAATAAACAACTATTCAATGAGTAGATCTGTCTCCCGAGAACATGATTCAACGAGTAGATCTGTCTTGCCAGAATGCGAAGACTGCGACGTGCATAGGACCGCGGCCACGGCGTCTTGCACACGTATTCGAGAATTCATCGAATGGATTAGAGGATTCAAACTACAGACATTGAAAGCGTCGTGGGACATTTATCGGCGAGCCCGACGTTGATAGCTAAAAATCCAACAGATACTACTGATCCTTCTTGGTCTGGGAAACCTTGAATGCCTCTGTGCGAACAGAGTTTTGAACGCTATTGAGGGTAGTGATGCTGAAGTAGAGCATGGGAATGGAAACGCCAAGAACGACCAGCAGGGCAGTGATGATGCCAGGCGAGAGGAGCTGATAACGGGCAAGGATACCAGGCGAGCGCACAGTCTTCGGGCCACGGGTGCCAAGAATGATGGTGAGGGTGGTGGACGAAGAAGGCAGCATACGAGCAAGGCGGGTGGCTGCACCAGTTCGCAGTCAGCCTTGTGAAGTGAATTGCAGGTTAATGAACAGACCTCCGGCCTCAATCTCACTGCGGCGCGCGCTGCCACCGTGGTTGACAATTGGGCGCGCGGTGAAATGGAGGGTATGCCTGCCTGGAGCGCGCTTGCTCCACCCAAGTGCATCTGCAGCAAGATTGCTCGTCAGGACCAGTTGCAGAGCTGCGCATGTTTTTCGTACGCACCCTCCGCCTCATCGTCCCAGGCCACTCCGGCAACCTCACCGTCAGTGTCGACGAACTGGCCGGTGATGACAGAGAGAGTGCTCCCGCAATGTTGGCTGAGGTTTGCGTGAAGGCGTGCCATCTCGTCTGCGGGCTCAGTTATATGCGGCATGATGGAGTTGAACGGCGAGCCGACAATCGACGACGGCAACTCGTTCGCAGGTGGGAGTGCTGCGAGGTCGCTGATGTGCAGCTGCGACAGACAGTGTGAGTTGTAGTCGTAGGTAAATGTCGTGTGCGAGACTCACGCCGGGCCAATGAATGACAACAACCGCATCATGGTCACACACGCCAGGCGCATCCAAGATGAGCTTTGCAAGCTCGTTGGCGCTGGAGAACCCGGACGCGCTCGGCGACGTGGTCAGCGAGAATGACCTGCAACGCGCCGTCAACATTTGAATGCTGTAGTTATGGGCAGGCACGGTTGCGCACTTGCTGTTGCTCCACGCGACGAGCGGGTATGTGTTCGAGTACGCGCGGGTGAGCGCAGTCAGCGCGGCGACACAGGCAAGCACGCGCATCGTTGCGAAGTTCAGGAGGCGAGCACTCCGGCCA